ACCACCTTACCCACCACCCCTTACCCACCACCCCACACAAAACAACAACACTATAAAATGCATGTATTATTTTAGTCCACTAACAGTAATCAATGACGCAATCATCAACTCAAAGGAGATTGTATCAAAAGCAAACAGACGTTTAGAGAGTAAATGTGTACACATTTACAAAAACAATATTTTAAAATCACATTTAATCATAGTTTTTACACCAACTTCTGCAAGACAATTTCCGCCTGCTAGAACGAGATGAAAATAACACCAAAAGATGACTAGGTTTATGATTTAATTAAATTTTTGTTTTTACATTTAGTGTATCACATGAAAAATTTGAAGAGGAATAAACCTTGTTTCACAATGGTAAACTTAAATAATTGTACACTTTTAAAGATGTAAACTGCAAGTGTAAACAAAAACAAACCTAATTTTTCGTTTCATTTTAAAATTATTTTCTTAATTTTTTATTTTTTAATACATAAAAAAAATTTAGAAATTTTTAGATTTAAAAAAAAAAAATCTTTTAAAATCTACATTTCATCTTCAGCCAGTCACGAGTCAGAACTCTTGCGATTATATTTTATTATACTTTTTAATTATATTACATTACATTATATAACAAACGTCTGCATTGACAATTCATCCAATGGCTTACGAGGCCGCGCCTTGAATGTCAGTCCCAGCTGCACTTCACTTCTTGAAAGGGATCATCGACACCTGTATAAATGTGGCCTTCTGTAATGCGCATTTTATTTCAAGGGCTTTATTTCGTTCTCCTTCCGTCTGTTTGACTGCATCATACACTATACAATGACTGTACATGCAATACTATCAATAATAATACAATAAACACAAAAGAAGTCTTAACTTATTTGTTAACTTGTTTTTTATAATCACAGGTGAAACGTTAAATCTCCACAATAAAAGAGGACAAGAAAACCGACGGACTGCTGTATTGACAACAATGAATGCGTTTGTGGTTTGGCTAGGTCTCTGTGAAGGTATACTAGACAAGGGGGTTCTCAAAATATCTTAAAAAGGAATGTATTTTATTTTAACATCCTTCAGAAAAACCATGAAGAGCCAAGTGGGACATAAGAAACATTTGAATTATAATAATAAAGTGAGTGAGGTGTCGGAAGTAGTGTGCTGGATAGATGAAAAATGTATGTGTTACAGGGCATACTGTAAAATGAAAGTATTAGAGGGCATATTGTTCACTTTATGTGTTTCAGGGTAGATTGTAACCTCTAGATGTTACAGGGTATAGTGTAAAATGTATGTATTAGAGGGCATATTGTTCACTTTATGTGTTTCAGGGTAGATTGTAACCTCTAGATGTTACAGGGTATAGTGTAAAATGTATGTATTAGAGGGCATATTGTTCACTTTATGTGTTACCGGGTAGAGTGTAAACTCTGGACGTTACAGGATACAGAGTAATCTCTAGATGTTATAGGGCATAGTGTAAATTCTAGATGTTACAGGATACATTGTAATCTCTAGATGTTACAGGGCATAGTGTAAACTCTAGATTACAGGATACAGTGTAATGTCTAGATGTTACAGGGTATAGTGTAAACTCTAGATGTTACAGTGTATAATGTAAACTCTAGATGTTACAGAGGGCATAGTAAAAACTCAATTTTACGGGCTTAATGTTGTTATATAATTATATGTTACAGGACATAGAGTTAAATCTAGATGCTACAAGAAATCGTGTTAAATATAGATGTTACAGCAAATAGTGTTGAATCTAGATGTTACAGCACATAGTGTTCACTCTAGATGTTACAGGGCATAGTGTTCAATATAGATGTTACAGCACATAGTGTTCAATCTAGATGTTACATGACATAGTGTTCAATCTAGATGTTACAGCACATAGTGTTCAATCTAGATGTTACATGACATAGTGTTCAATCTAGATGTTACAGGACATAGTGTTCAATCTAGATGTTACAGGACATAGTGTTCAATCTACATGTTACAGGACATAGTGTTCAATCTAGATGTTACAGCACATAGTGTTCAATCTAGATGTTACAGGACATAGTGTTCAATCTAGATGTTACAGGACATAGTGTTCAATCTAGATGTTACAGCACATAGTGTTCAATATAGATGTTACAGCACATAGTCTTCAATCTAGATGTTACAGCACATAGTGTTCAATCTAGATGTTACAGCACATAGTGTTCAATCTAGATGTTACATGACATAGTGTTCAATCTAGATGTTACAGCACATAGTGTTCAATCTAGATGTTACAGCACATAGTGTTCAATCTAGATGTTACAGCACATAGTGTTCAATCTAGATGTTACAGCACATAGTGTTCAATCTAGATGTTACAGCACATAGTGTTCAATCTAGATGTTACATGACATAGTGTTCAATCTAGATGTTACAGCACATAGTGTTCAATCTAGATGTTACAGCACATAGTGTTCAATCTAGATGTTACATGACATAGTGTTCAATCTAGATGTTACAGCACATAGTGTTCAATCTAGATGTTACAGCACATAGTGTTCAATCTAGATGTTACAGCACATAGTGTTCAATCTAGATGTTACAGCACATAGTGTTCAATCTAGATGTTACAGCACATAGTGTTCAATCTAGATGTTACAGCACATAGTGTTCAATCTAGATGTTACATGACATAGTGTTCAATCTAGATGTTACAGCACATAGTGTTCAATCTAGATGTTACAGCACATAGTGTTCAATCTAGATGTTACAGCACATAGTGTTCAATCTAGATGTTACAGCACATAGTGTTCAATCTAGATGTTACATGACATAGTGTTCAATCTAGATGTTACAGCTTATAGTGTTCAATCGAGATGTTACATGACATAGTGTTCAATTTAGATGTTATCGATAAGTTCTACATCTGGATGTTTGAGTCATATGTTAAATGTTGATGACTTTCATTAGATTGATTCCTTTTTATGTCCATTATTTAATAGTTTATATTTGTGTTGGGGGCCCTGTCATACAATACCGTTAGGCAAAGAATTGAATGCAAAGGTAAAGTATGGCAAGCCTTGGTACAGTATAGAATGCCTTGGTAAAGAATAGAATGCCTTGGTAAAGTATAAAAAAGGCTTGGTAAAGTGTAGATTGGCTTGGTAAAGTATAGAATGCCTTGGTAAAGTATAGAATGCCTTGGTATAGTATAGAAAGCTTTGGTAAAGTATAGAATTCCTATGGTAAAATATAGAATGCTATTACCTTGTATCACCGACTATCATGCCAACCCTGTTAAACTAGTATTGCATTATCAATCTATAACATAAGTGAGGTCTATGTTACATGCTGATCCTCGTATATGTTACAACCTGGTGCTGGTCTATGTTACACGCTGGTACTAGTTTATGTTACATGCTGGTGCTGGTCTATGTTACATGCTGGTGCTGGTCTAAGTTACACGCTGGTGATGGTCTATGTTACATGCTGGTGCTGGTCTATGTTACATGCTGGTGCTGGTCTATGTTACACACTGATGATTGTCTATGTTACATGCTTGTGCTGGTCTATGTTACACGCTGATGATTGTCTACGTTACATGATGGTGCTGGTCTATGTCACACGCTGATGATTTTCTATGTTACATGTATGTTCTGGTCTATTTTACATGCTGATCATTTTCTATGTTACATGCTTGTGCTGGTCTATGTTACAGACGTGCCCTTGTCTAAGTTACATGCTGATCATAGATTTTCTACGTGAGGTGAGGGAAGATTGGGGTAATGATAGTCTAAAATAACCTATATATTATATAATCTACATAAATATATGTATAGTATAATATAAAACAATCTATATATTGTATAATCTTAAACAATTTATGTGTGCTATATTCTAAAACAACCTACATTTGTGTTGATCCAAAAAGCTCTAAACAAAGTACAATTTAAAACAATGTAAGACAATGTGATTTAATGAATGGCGACCTTCATCTTATCAACCACATTCAGGCCAATTTTAACAGGTGCCACCTGTAAAGGGACGATATTTGTTTGCCAGCCCTCGCCTACTACGGAAAAGGTCTTCTGCAGATAAAGCCCTCACCCCCTATATATTTTTTTTAAAGTGTCATCAAGAATGAGTAGCTCCCAGAGGGACCACCTCTACCCTATTTTTTTCAACTCCACTCCATGTGTGTTGACATAAATTAAATTAACATTTAAAAAAATCACACATTATTTTGCTCCGCTCCCCACAGTAATGATTGTTTACTTACACAAGGCTCACTGTCAACATAACTCTTTAGATGAGTATTGCTTCCATGAACTCCCGAAAGTGAGAAGAGAAAACCCAGGCTACCTAAGCATGTTAAAACTCATCTATTTGTGCAGGTATTCACTCCCTTTCGTGACCAAGTGTAAGGGTTCTGTTTTTGTTGTGTGTGGGTACATAGCGTCAGGGTCTCTGTTTAGCAATGGATTGTTAAGCATTAAAATATATATATATATTTAAATAGGCCTTAAACAAATTTAACGGAGGATGTAAAAAAAGTAACAACAGTCGCTCTGGAAGTCGGCAGTACCACCGTCATAAAGGAAAAGGGAAAAGGGGAGGGGGGGTAGAGCCCACAATGTTAGGAAACTACTGTGACAGTATGAGTGACTGACGAGTGTTGTCGTCGTGTGCATTGACTGAACTTTGTGACCTGATCGACCTGGGGTCGATGGCATGAATATTGGTTGGAGAACCAGAGTGAGTTGTCATGTGATATGTCGTATGAAACGAATGTAGAAGGGGGGGGGGGAATACAGTGGGGTTGTTAAACAGGCCCCAGACTCGATATGAAATCTTACTGTACCAATCACGTGGTGTCAGATTACAGTACCATTAAGCCAATATTTCTCATTATAGTACTATCAAACTCTTACTGCATATTTCGTTGCTCAAAAACAACAACAATTTTACCTTTTTTTTTTCTTTATTCTCTATGGACCCATTCTTGTCCTATATATTGTTCCAGTGACATGGATGTGTACACCGACTGCTTAAAAAGTACCCGGGTTAGGAACGATGTGAACGATGCCGTGAAGTTCCAAGAGTTTGAGAAACACTTCCCCCCTGTCGACGACATGGAGAGGGCCGGCTTCACTTTCTGCTGGCTTTCATTGTTATCAGGTACCGTCATTATTATCAGATACCTTCATTATTATCAGGTACCTTCATTATTATCAGGTACCGTCATTATTATCAGGTACCGTCATTATTATCAGGTACCGTCATTATTATCAGATACCTTCATTATAATCAGATACCTTCATTATTATCAGGTACCGTCATTATTATCAGGTACCGTCATTATTATCAGGTACCGTCATTATTATCAGGTACCGTCATTATTATCAGCTACCGTCATTATTATCAGGTACCGTCATTATTATTTTCATGTATTATTATTATTATCAGGTATTATTATTATCTGGTATTATTATTATTATCTGGTATTATTATTATCTGGTATTATTATTATTGTCAGGTATGATCATTATCGTCAAACTTGAACTTTATTATCAGGTAATTTAAACTGGTAGCATCATTATTATCAGATTTTATCATTATTATCTAACTCATACACGATGAGGTCACACCGTAACAAAAGATAAACGATAATGTCATGTTGCTTTGTTTGCTGGCGGTGTATAGACCTGGGAAATGGTCGCTATGAAGAATGGGGGGGGGGGGAAACAAGAGCTAAAAAAAAGAAATAAAATTATTGCACCCTAAATCTGAGTCTGACCTGGGAAATGGTCGCTATGAAGAATGGGGGGGGGGGGGAAACAAGAGCTACAAAAAAGAAATAAAATTATTGCACCCTAAATCTGAGTCCCCTGGCTAACTAAGGTACATATTCTGGTGGAGGTCTGAGATAACCTACTTATGACTTATGACTCCCTTTTGGCTAATACTTTGGCTACCAGCTCTATCTGCAGAGCTGAGCTAAGTAACATTTTCCTCACGTAGGGCTATTCCGCCGCCCTGCCCCCCCTCCCCCCCCCGAAACATCTAGTGAGGGACATTCGGTCAACAAATGCCTTTGTGTTTCTGGAGCCAGGCTACAGTGCCGGCAGATAGGGTCCCAGTTTTGAACTAGACTGTTCGGTCACTAGATTCAACACGTTCATGAAGCTAAACCACGCACTGACCAACCATCACTGAATGTCGGTGGTGTCCGTCGCACTAAGCTGCACATCTAACTCCCTTCTACCAGATCCATACATGTACAACGTCAGCCCCAGTAAGGTCACCGCCTGCCAGAGCAAGGTCAACGAGATGAAGTGCGAGATCGCGAATGAGGACGACAATCGGCTGTTAAAAACTGCTGTGGACGAAGAGAAACCAAGCATCGTTGCTTATTACGGCTGCAAGTTAGTTCGTTAAGGTTTTACTATTTTAATTCATTGAAGTATCTTTTTTTTAAAAAATTCTGATATAGATTTTTTTATCCCTGTATTCAATAATTTTTTTTTTTTATTTTCATATTCTGTTTTCAGTATTTAAATACCACTCATTTTGTTTTTAATATGCTAGGAGAAGGATTACAGCTTAAGCCATCCTTGTTATTTACGGCAACATTTTCAGAACTTCCGTCATTGAGTTTTTTCCTTAGTAAATCGTCAACATCCGGTAGGCAGAATGCAATAAAATAAAACATTTATTTATTTCAAATTCGTCATAGAAATATACCGTATGTGCTCACACATAAGCCTACATCGCAATATAAGCCGATGTGGTGATCTGACTTATGACTTGTTAGTGAGGGTTATCTCTCGTATGAGATCTCCTCTGGGCACTCTGTCTAGGGATTCGTTATTCAAGCCAAATTACCACACAGACATAATACCTATCTGTATACATATAGTATAGACTGAAACGAAGTCTTAGTAGTATAGACTGAAACGAAGTCTTAGTAGTATAGACTGAAACGAAGTCTTAGTAGTATAGACTGAAACGAAGTCTTTGTTAAAGGAGAAATTAACTACAACTATTTATTGCATAATAATATTTACAACTTCCTCCGTAAAACACTCTTGGTGATTAATATATAATATACATCAATCGGATTTCATCCAGATAGAAAGGTATATCAACACAAAGTAAGTGTCCCTAACATACAAACGTTATCATCATTAGTACTGCTATATTGCTCAAGTCCTATGCTCAATCTTTGTTGACTTAGCCTTTATAATTCCGGTGCTGATCTCGGTGGATTACACAGTGTGGGAGTCCTTCTATTCTAGAAGCGTGTCTCTGTTCCGGTCTTCGGAGCTGTTCTACGCGTAGCGAAGACGGAGTTCCTGGTCGTAGATTCCGTGGGATCTCTGCGAGGGGAAGATGACTCTCCCGCGATAAATCGTGGTGGTGAGAGTCCCTGGATCTCGAACTCCTAGCTGCCAGGCAGTTTGGTGTAGGATGTAGATCAATCCCTTAGTTCCAGCTTCAAGGTAATTCGGTCCAGTAATAGAAACCAGGCTAAAGGCAAAATGATACAAAAATGGATAAGTATCCAGGCAAATATCCATAAGCTGATATGTCCCGTTCCAACAGCAACGAATTCAGATCGATGTATGGAGGGTGACATAGCTTTTACATATATACATCCAATTTGTGGATAGAATTATAAGTCTTGTCATTCTGGGCGAGAGCATATGTTGCATGGCGACAATTTTGGACCAAGCAAACATTTTAATTTAATGAAGTATGGGACGTAGAATCATTATCAATCATTAAATTTACAGGTTCATGGTATACATATTGTCTTCTCGTTAAAAGAGCCATGAGCGAGTTGGAACAACAACCTACCATCCCCGTGATAGGATGGCGGCGTGTCGTAGCCCACGGCAAAAGTAATAATAGAATTCATAATTTCAATATAATTTATTACAGGCATTATTAGAATAAGATCGAACCCGATCGCACATTTGCTACATAGCGAATGAACAATACAAGTGCAATACCATAATATTAAAATCATGGTTGCGTACTTACTAGTACTCTAGGTAGCAGTTGCAGTTGAGTATCACGCTAGTGAAGTACTAAGTCTAGACACTTCAAGTGCCCACAAACAAGTGATCGGATCTTAAAAGTCATATACTTGCCAATATCCTAGGTTGCAGTTATGTATCACGCTAAAGAAGTTCTAAGTCTAGATCCTTCCAACGTCCACGGTCAAGTGATCAGATCATAAAAGACAGATTCTTGCTTGTTCCGGCTATTTATTCGAGTTGGGTGACGAGTAACTGATGATTCAATTGGGTGATTCAAATGTTGTATGTTTTTCCATCCAATGATAATAACTTTCGATGTTGCGGGATTGACCTTCTACCCTCAAATTTAATCGGGCTGGGGTGAACATCCTAATTCACGCTTTAGTGTGAGTTTTCTGGTTTAGAAATGCAATAACACCAAGGGGCGATACTCCGCTTTGCTGTCTCCAGGGCAAAAATGAGGGGGGGGTGGTATTATTTCCTCAAGGTTCATCGGTGGGATGGGTTGAACACAATTTGCACGCTCTGGAGGTGAGCGAGCTGATGCAGGAAGGCGATAACACAAAAGGAACTCACTCGTGCTAAGCGACTGCGGGGCAACGAAAAGGGGGAGGGAAAGGTGTTATTTTACACAACGGTTTCCACAGGCGGATTTACGATGGAAGAAATTTGACAAAGTCCAGCTTCAGATCGTCACAGCCAACCCCTGAAACTGCTTTAAAAATGGTCAGTTTTTGCAAAAACCCGCACATAAGCCGACCATACAACTGTCTTATTTGACTCCATATTTTTGGTTCATAGAAATTTGTTACTGTAAAGATGTGAAATGGTTACTTTTATGTTACATACCAGTTTGTTTAACTTTCGGAATGCCACAAAATGCTCTTTCCACATTGTTTGCTATAATAATATCTAAACTTCCGCTCATAAGTTGTTCACAACTAATGATTAACGAAGTATATATTTAGAAAATTTTTTTGGAAAATTATCATTAGTGTCAGTCCTTCTGTCCATTTTGTTTTATGCGCATATAAGCCGATCCCTTGATTTCAGTATTGCATTTTATAGTTCTAAATTCGGCTTATATGCGAGTATATACTGTACTTTGGAAATCAAATATTGTTAAATAACACAGATCAGAAACAATTAAGGGCTTTTCAAAAGTATTTGAAGAAATTCTAGGAAGTACCATTCACCTATGTATTTCAAAACATCACATACTGACCAGTCCATGACTTTGTGAAATTCAATATAATGATCTGATCTGGAGCTCAAAAAGAAAGTTGCGCCCCTGCTCTCTTTCTGTCGCCCCGGATGAAATAACTTTCAGCTGTTTATTTTTACTTTAAAAAGTGTCTTTACTGCTTTTTGATCGCTGAAGGAGGCTTCTTGCCGACACATTCATTGTTTTTGCTGCGTCCTGTTTTTTGGGGGGTTCCCCATAATTTGCTTCGTCTATTTTCTTTTAATGGCAGCAGCGCTTGGGACTTTTCCAACAGCTTGATGAATCCATTTACAGGAGAGTTTAAACATTTTATGATATTCCCGCTTCACCAACAAAAAAACAAAAAGTTACCCCCTGTGGTGGACCTTCGGACCGCATTTATTTTTACTTTTATGGAACAGAATCATAGAGTGTCGGTCCTAAAAGATTTACGCCCTTGTCAAAATTAATATATAGTTTCGGTTTTTGCATAGGAAAAAATATACGAAACCTGTAGGGACTAGGATGGATTTAAATTTCACTTTCCCATCAAATGTTTGGTATGATATATACTGTTAAAGCGTATCATACGTTGAGGTAATTCTTGATTTATTTATTTTTTGTCATTCAGAGCGTACACATCCTACTGGACTTGTATGAGAGATCAGTACGCTGCATGTAACCCAGAGATAGCACCTTTGTTTGACTACTACCTGGCCAGAGCAGGCACGTAAGTCAGGGCTTTTTAGTTTTATAAGCGTTATGCAGTTTTAGTGTTAATTTCTTGAACATTTGATGACTAAGGTCTTGGAGCCAAAAGATAAAATTTGGAGAGTGGCGCCAACGGGAAATCAAACTGGCAGAGGCGCCTAATTTCCGAGATTAGATGGGGAGCGGAAGGCAAGTTTATCTTTAAGACCTCACTGTCATTCTCTCTCTTCTTTTTCTTATATCCGAGTGTTCTGGAGAAAGGATATTTAATTTACTCAACGCGTGAAGAACCAAAACGGTTTATGTGCTTTCTTGTGTGTCCGTTTTAACGTCGTGTGTCTGGACGCGTTGTGTCCGTTTTAACGACGTGTGTCTGGGCGCGTTGTGTCCCTATTAACGTCGTGTGTCTGGGCGCGTTGTGTCCGTTTTAACGTCGTGTGTCTGGACGCATTGTATCTGTTTTAACGTCGTGTGTCTGGACGCGCTATGTCCGTTTTAAGTCGTGTGTCTGGGCGCGTTGTGTCCGTTTTAACGTCATGTGTCTGGGCAAGTTGTGTCCGTTTTAACGTCGTGTGTCTTGACGCGTTGTGTCTGTTTTAACGTCCTGTGTCTGGACGCGTTGTGTTTGTTTTAAGCTCGTGTGTCTGGACGCGTTGTGTCTGTTAAAAGTCGTGTGTCAAAAAGTTATAAATAAAAAAGACACGCGATGCCACAACGTACACTCAAGGAGTGACAACAATGTGTACTGAAAAGAGACAACAAAGTTACACAGAATATGAATCGATAAATCTTCGTTGTGTCTTTTGAGTTGTGCCTAATTTAACTTTGATACTCAGTTTGTCTCCGTTTTAACTTCTCGTGCCTAACATTCCAACGTGCTGTGGGCTGTTTTAAATTTACTGTAAATATCTGACTGCCAGTTTATAAAACGCTCTCTTATTTGTGCAACTAATTATAAATTTCTCCCATCGTTATTTAGTAAACTAATTTTTGATTCCAACAAAACTCTCCTTTTTTCATTAATATTATTTGTTCTATGATTTTTCTACAGAAGTTGTCTAAAGACCTACAAAATATCCAACCGGGTTCTTTTTGTGACCGACTGCGACAACGTCACACAGCCACCACTTGCACATTTGACGATCACGAATAATACCTCCACCACCACCACCACCACCCAGCAACGAAGTGACGGAGGCGACTCTACATACGACAGCGGATATCAGTCGCCGCTCCTGTTGTTGGGGATGACGTGTGCCACCCTCGCCATGACAACACACAGAGGTCCCTTCGACTCGCCTTTCGTGAACTGATAGATAGGTTGATCGGCATGACGTAGTAATTGATTCGTTTAAATTACGTCAGTCGTGAGCATTTAACACATGAATGATGAAATAACGTTATAACGTATTCATTTCAGCAAGCGAGAGAAGCTGTTCGGACATTGATTTTTTTTAACACTTAAGTAAAAAGAATTGTAAATAAGAAAAAAAGTGTGTTAACCATTATTTTTTTTTTTTTTTAAATATTATCGACTACCTTGCAGTTCGTGTGTTCCTACATTGATAACTTGCTAAATGTACAGATCACTGTGTTAACTATAATTTAACGGAAATCAATTTTTATTCTAATGACAGTGGATTTAAAATCTGGCGCGTTACCCCAGACTAGGGCTCGGCTCACAGCGCTTCACATAAAATCTTGCGAAACTAAACATGACATTAAAAAAGAGTTACATACATTTATTTATATTTAAAAAAAAACAACTTAAAAAAATATTGCCTCGCCCACCTTAGACTTATTTACCTGTCTATCCACGGACGGCCCCCATCAGCATCGAGCATCGTTTAACGGTTTGAGGGGTGAGGGGGGGTGAGAATGAATTGTGATATTAGAGATGTGTCTTGAGTGCAGTTTTGAAGGCCTGGATGGTCGGTATATTGCGGATGCGTAATGGGAGAGAATTCCACCTGTCTAGGCACAGTATTCGTATTCTGTCCATGTAGGACTTCTGCAAGTCAAAGATTTTAATCAAGTCTTGACTTTGTATTAGTATCCTCTCAATCAAATAGTTGTGAACGTCTACGTTTATAAAGTTCAAAAGGAATAAGCTCATTATTCTGAATATCATTTTTCATTCTTAACATAAATCATTTTCCAAATAGATATAACCTGCAAAAGAATGGCGGCGGTAATAGAGTGGACACACCATCTAATAAAGATCCTTGACAAATCATGCATCCAATTAATACACTGTGTACAAATGAACAAATTAATGCTAAATGAATAAAGTAGGGAACGATTGGAGGGTGTGCTTAAGGCTGCAAACAAAACTTGGAGAGTCGCGTGGGGGCAAGAAAGCCATGAAGTCAAAGAAGTGGGAAGCCAGATTAGGGGAGATAGGCTTGGAACAATAGACGCCATGGGTCCATATTCCTGAATTTTGGGGAGATGATATCAAGGCGACTCATTTGTTTTTGCTGACACGGTTGAATGCTAAGAAAGAACATGTAGCCTCGTCCAGTAGACATGCCTCGTCCAGTAGACATGCCTCGTCCAGTAGACATGCCTCGTCCAGTAGACATGCCTCGTCCAGTAGACATGCCTCATCCAGTAGACATGCCTCGTCCAGTTCACATGCCTCGTCCAGTAGACATGCCTCGTCCAGTAGACATGCCTCGTCCAGTAGGCATGCCTCGTCCAGTAGACATGCCTCGTCCAGTAGACATGCCTCGTCCAGTAGACATGCCTCGTCCAGTAGACATGCCTCGTCCAGTAGACATGCCTCGTCCAGTAGACATGCCTCGTCCAGTAGACATGCCTCGTCCAGTAGACATGCCTCGTCCAGTAGACAAGCCTCGTCCAGTAGACATGCCTTGTCCAGTAGACATGCCTCGTCCAGTAGATATCGAAGTTTTAAAACCAAATGTATGGGAAGTTGTTTGGTTTCTGAGCCCTGATTTAATGAATATTTAAACACTTTGTTAAGTGGTCGTTCAGTTTCTCAGAAACTGAGATTCTAGAAATCTTTTAATGACCCTCTCTGTCTGTCTCTCTCTCTCTCTCTCTCTCACTCTCTCTCTGTCTGTCTCTCGCTCTCTCTCAATTTCACTGTCTCACTCTCTAATTCAGTGTCATATAAATACACCCCAAAGTACATATTATATAGAATAAATACTTTCCCCCTATAATGCTCTATTATTTTCAAGGAAATTAAGAATATGAATATTTTTTTTTATAGTTATTATAACATGTTACACGATATTTCATAGTAGGCTTGTAGAAAACTCATTGGTGTGTCACATGTTACACGTGTTTCTTGTGAAGCCGACCCATAATCTAGTTAGTGTATAAGACTGAGTACACGAAACCTACCACTATCACAGTCAGTCTCTTAACTCTAAACTGAGGCTACAGATTCAGGTTGAAAAGGGTTGCTCTCCAAATATCACGGGATACCCCAAAGATAATCAAAACTGAAACACTCTGTATCAAACATACATATACGGGCCGCCCCGAAGGTGCAAAAAAAAAGAAAATAGTCGTTTTACATCCTCTATATTAACATTGCATTTGTGCGCGTGTTTCTTTCTTTCTGTGGTGTGGACAAATCTGCGGGCGGCCCATTGACCCACTGCCCGTCAAAGTATCGAGCTGAAACTTGGCGCATAGGCTTGTAGCCGAGGACTACATATTCTCTCAGAATTTTCATCGGCATTTCGCAAACCCCAGACCCCCCCCCCCCCCAAAAAAAAGTTTTTTTTTTTTTTTCCATTGACCCACCGCCCGTCAAAGTATCGAGCTGAAACTTGGCGCATAGGCTTGTAGCCGAGGACTACATATTCTCTCAGAATTTTCATCGGCATTTCCCAAACCCCAGACCCCCCCCCCCCCCAGAAATAAGTTTATTCTGTTTTTTCAAAGGGGAAATGAGGGAAATAAGATGCCACTGATTTCACGAAATGAAATTCCTGATAACTTCGGCTAAATGAGTTTCTGTTGTTCTTCTGAAATAGTTGGGGAAATAAATCTGCGCCGTTAAAGTGGGTGGTTCATTAGAATATTAATAGAACTCAGTTTCGTGAAAAAAGTGAGATTGCCAGCCTTATGGTGGGGTGGTGGTTGGGGGGGGGGCAGCACAAACTGGGATTTCTATAAAATGCGTTACTTGAACGCAAGTTTTGTCAAATTATCAACGCCCACCTATCCCTTCTCCCTCCCCCCCCCCCCCAATTGATCGATATTACATTTTTATAAAGGATTTATATGTAAAAATTTGTTTTTTAACGGTAGTTTTATTAATTTTTTAAATAATTTTTTTTAATTCCTTATATTAGCTTTGCGTTTGATCGGGTGCGTCTCTGAAACTTTTTGTTACGTACCGCTTTAATTTAGATAATTTAATCTCTTACTTTACTCAATGGCTCGTGTCAAACAGTAACTAAAGGACGGTACCATTAATTAAATACAGTAATAAAAAAAATATATCCAAACTAGGGCTGATTACATAGAGTAAATTATTAAGTTCATTTAAAAATTACAAAATCAAATGGAAAATAAAACTAAAGCTATTCACTTACAGTACAGTTATGAACTTGTACCGGTACAAAGTTGAAAGCGGTTGAAACAGTAAATATTAATATACAGCAATTTACGATCAGTACAAATTCTGTCTCGTATCGTTAATTCTCATAATGTACCCTATTTTGATTGGCGTATTTATAGTATTTCTTATAGACCAGTGGTTCTTAACCTTGTTGGAGGTAAAGAACCCCACCAGTTTCATATAGTACGCATTCACCGAACCCTTTTTAGTAAAAAATAAAATATGATTTTTGTGTGGTTTTTTTGGACCTCCGCCCAACCCCTGAGACTGACTCACCGAACCCCTGGGGATCGATCGAACCCAGATTAAGAACCACTATTATAGACTTTTCCAGATAGCGGTTCGGCATTGTATCCCTCTCTCGGTCAGTCTCGTAAGTTCTAAAGAATTCTAATTCCAAAGACTATAAGCTGTGCTTACTTGTAATCAAGGTCAAGGGAGACAATTAGTAATTAAATCACACCTATCGTGTTGCCTAGCTTGGGGTCACCCAGAGTTCGCGCACGAGTTTCACAATGGAAACAAGGAAGCCCTTCGTAAAACATCAAAGTAACTAAAAATGAAAAAAAAAATTTGCCACATTTTGTAGCCAATTTCTATGATATGAATAAACTAATTCACTGGAAACAGTCTCGAAGCAGTAGATATAAAAGTAAAAGAGTATTTACTTTTTTTTTCTCTTTATTTGATGGCCCACGATCCATTTATCGATCATTATGGCTCCTTGCTAGAATTCAGAGTTTAGATGAATACCCGTTGTCAATGCTAAAGAGTCCCGGGGTGCATGTTTTTTGTTTTTGTTTTTTGGGCTTGTTTCCAGATTGGAATCCAGCTATTTGGATTCGGTCAGTTTAGACCGCTCACCCATCCAACACAAGATGTTTACATTACTTCCATGGCTATATAAATCAGAATCGTCCTGGAGATAGAACATTTTTCATATAGCCATGATTTTATCAAATCATCTTTCAAGACACTAAAGAGTTAATTTTATTTAAGGCTAGCTAAGGTCAAGCTAAGTTTCGACTCTTCCCGTGTTCAATGGTAAAACATTTTTCAGGAGCAAGAACATTTTCACAGCTATAGAAAATGGAAAATGAACTGAGAGCAACTGTGTGTCAAGAAAAAAAATTGTCCACCCTTAATATCACGTGTGCAGAAAGTTACATAATATATCTTTTGACAACACAATAAATGGTTTTGTTTTTCTGTCTGAGGGAGATGGTGAGGTCACCTGGAGAATATTAAAGTCCCATTTGGTGGTTAAGGCCTTAATTAATGATTAATGTCCCAAGGGGTTGTTGAGGTCTCTTGGTGGATTTCCCAAATCCTTTGCACGGTAATCATTAAATAATAAGTGACACCATTCATTAATAAAACAGCAGTAGAAAGTTCCACAGAGGTGTCCTGCATTGTTTTGCTGACAAAATTTACCCATGACTTAGACATCGTACCAGACATTTATCATTTAACATA